CCCCCCCCCCCCCCCCGCCGCAGGAGCAAACAGGAGCCCTCGGCACGGCCGCTGGTGAATCCCCACCAAGAAAAACCCCACACGGTGCCAGGACGCAGCTAGAGCCGCACAGGGCGGCAATACCAGTGGGGGGACACACGCACCCCATCCTCCCTGTGCCCTCCCCATCTCTGTCACCCCCAGAGCATCCTCCACCAGCACACCAGCTCGGAGCTGCTGGCAGCACCGCGTCCCCTGGGGTCACCCCCTGACCCTCTCCCCGTGGTTTTTTTTTGCCATCGCAGGGTGGGACGTGGAGGCCGGGAGCAGCGGTGGGATCAGCCCCGATGTCCTGGTGTCGCTGTCGGCGCCCAAGCAGTGTGCCCGTCGCTTTCTGGGCCGCCAGCACTTCGTGGCCGGTCGATTCCTTCCCTACGACGTGCAGAAGAAGTTTGAGCTCAACCCACCCAAGTACCCCGGCACCGAGTGCGTGGTGGCCCTGTGAGCCCCCCCGGGAATAAAGCACTTGGTGGCTCTTCCTTGGGGTCGGTGTCTTCCTGGGGACACGGGGTGAGGGGACGGTGGTCTCCCGGCAGGGTTTGGGCTGGGGGATTGTGCCGGGACTTGACCCCACACTCCATCCGTACCAGGGGACTCGGCCCCCTGCACAGCTCAACACCCCCCATGCTGCATCCCCTGGGACCTGTCACCAACCTGCTTTTGGGGACAGACCCGACGTGACCTCCTCTATCACCCACCCCATGGGGATGTGGGCAACTGCCAGGGTCCCGTGGGTGGCTGCAGGGTCCCCAGTGCTGCCACATCCCCCCCTAGCCTGAAACCCTCAAATGTGCTGGGGAAGGGCTGCAGGAGCAGCCCCCTTGTTATGGGGTGTTTAATTAACAGGGAGGGCAGTGACAAATCACCGCTGGGGACCGTCTCCACCTGTCCCAGCAGAGAAGGTGTTCTTGACCCTGCAAGAGCGCTGGGAGCTACTTCCCCCCCCCCACCGGGGAGCTCCGTGCAGCCGGAGTTTTGGGGAATGCAGGGAATGTGCTGGGATTTCTGTCGGCCGGGCTGCGAGAGGGGGCTGTGGTCCCCAGCTGTGGGCGGCTGCAGTTTGGGGGTGACCCTGAGGGGGGGTCCCCACCCCCCCCACCTGCCATCACACACCAGCACCGCTGGGCGCTTTGCATCCTGCAGCCCCACAGGGCAGTTTGGGCCATGGGTGCACCAAGCTCTGCCCGGCCTCAGCTCCAGCTCGGCATTGGGACACGGTGCGGCTCTGGCACACCCACGTGAGCCAGGTCACGGCGCGGGCGCCCACCGGCCCCCACCAGCCCTCCGTGCCCCAAGGCAACGGGTGCCAAGGGAGTGCTGGCACCCCGACCCCAACCGCAGGAGCGCCGAGGCCGGGCTCGCTCGGCTTTTTCCCTTCCCTCCCCTCCACATTCCCAAGCGCATCCAATTTTAGCAGCTCTGCAAAAACAAACCCTCAAGTTTCCCGGGCTGGAGCGGCAAGCGGCAGCGTGCGGCCGGCTCGCTGGGGAGGGCTCCTTCCCGCTTCCCTCTTGACACCGATCCAGCCCCGGCAGAGCCGACGGCCCCGAGTGCCAGGAGCCGATTGCTGCTGTCTGCCGGCGCGAGGGGGAAAGGCCTCATATATAGACCCACGGTGCCGCCACGCTCGCAGACGCCGGCCGACCTGCCGCCGCGAGGGCAGCCATGGGGGAGCTGGCACTGGCCCTCCTGGCTCTCGCCGCCCTGCACGGTGCCGGGGCGTCAGGTAAGGCCGGGGTCTGCCGTCTAACCGTGGCACGGCGAACCCATCCGTGCCGCCCTCCCGGGGGGCTGGCGGCGGCGATACGGGGCAGGATGGGGATGGGGCTGAGCGCTCGCCAGATGTGCGCTGGGGCCAGATGTGTGCCAGGGTCAGAGGTGTGCCAGGTTTGTGGCCATGGCCAGGAGCGGTCCCTCTGGCATCGGATGGTGGGAGGATGCATTGGCGAGGCTCAGGGCGGCTTTGTCCTCTCTTTGGCCATGTCACCCGAGGGACGGGGATGTGTCCTGCGCTGTGTGATGGCTGAGCACCTGCGGGAAGCCCTGGCTGGCTCGGCAGCGCCAGCTGCTCCACGGGGCTTTTGCCTCCCGGTGCTGAGCCCCCTCCAGCCCCATGGGGGTCTCTGCAAGGTGCCAAGAGCAGCATCCGTGCCAGACTGAGCCAGGAATGTCCCTGGACTGGGGACAAAATTCATCCACCTGCAGAACAGGGGCTGCGAGGGGTCCGGCTGTCCCCCAGCTCCCTGCCACCTGGGGAAGGGACAGGAGGTGGCAGGGTCGAGGCTCCAACTTTGCCGTGGGATTGCTGCTGGTGGAGGGATGGTGCCCACTGCATGCCCGTGGGGTACTCACAGTGGTCCAGGTTGCACAGGGGTGTCTTGAGTGTTCGGCAGCATCCCGTCCAGTGCCTGTCAGTGTCAGGCACCAGGGGCCAGGTTTCTCTCCAGGGACCTGCTCCCCGCATCCATCCCCTCCAGCACAGCTGAACCCTCCCGTCTCAGCACCCCGGATCACCTGCACGAAGGGCAGGCAGGGCTGCCCTTAGAGACCCCGGCTCACCAGGGTACACTCCGATGGGATGTGGCCAGCCGGGCTCAGTGGGAGCTGCCGGGGGGGACACCCTCCACCTGGGATTCACGGCGAGCCCCACTGCACTGGCCACTGCCGCGGCACCGGCTCCGCTTGCCAGCTGCGGTTTTACAGCCCTATTACCTGCCTCCTCCCGGTTTGGCTGGTGGGGCTCGGCATGACGCCAGGTTCATGCCGTGTTCTCAGCATGGCGGGTGCGTGTGTGGGCACCCTGGCTCATCTCCCCATCCCCTATCACCCCTGGGGCCAGGCTCACCCCAGGGCAGCCGAGAGCTCATGGGCAGCATTTGCCCAGTGTGCAGCCTGTGGACACGGTGTGGGTGCTGGCGTGGCCGGACTCGCCACACGGCACCAGCCTCGGCTGCCCCTTGGTCCATCCCTGGCCAGCCAGGAGGCTGCAGCCTGTCCTCGGCCACCTTGGATGGTGACACCACCAGCCTGGTCCCGTGGAGCCTGTAAATCCTGTCCTGAGCCCCTCACCTGGCTGATGATGTGGGGCTGGGGGGGCTCAGGGTGTGGGGGGGGTCCCCATCCCCGCTGGGACATGGCATGTCCCAGCGCTGGCTGAGCTTTCCTTTGGTGCCCACAGCTTGGCAAGGGACCAGCTGGGCACCACTGGGTGCCCTGGGGAGAGCGTGCCCCAGCACCGGGTGCTCTCACCCTGTGCTTCCCGCAGAGCCCCTGGAGAACAACTCGGAGCCGGGCAAGAGCGGCGCGGCGGGGAAGCCCTGGAAAGCAGCTCCCAGCCTGGCAGACCTCGACCTGGACACGGCAGGTACGGCTGTCCCTGAGCCCCCCGTGTCATCGGGTCCTGCAGTTGGGACACCCCAAAGGGGCTGCACGGGGTGATGCCCACCATGCCAGCCCAGGAGGTGCCATCTCCCCCCGTAGCAGTGTCCCCACGGGACCCTCGCAGCAAGGACGTGATGTCCACCCTGCGCTCCCCAAAGCTCCGCATCCCCCGGTGCTCTCCATCCCCATGTGCTTTCATCTGTTCATCCTTTGTCCATGGAGCCCTCGATGTCCCCGAGCTGTCCCCAGCCCCGGTGACACCCCGGGGTGCTCAGGGACCGCAGGGCTGCTCCCCACCCGCGCGCTCAGGGCTCGCTCCGTCCCAGGGAGAGGAGCCGAGTGGACGTCCTGGTTCAATATCGACCACCCCGGGGGGGACGGGGACTACGAGAGCCTGGAGGCCATTCGCTTCTACTACCGTGGACGCGTCTGCGAGCGGCCGGTGGCCATCCAGGCCCGCACCACCGAGTGGGAGCTGCCCGAGGACGTGGGCGAGGTGGTGCACGTCAGCCCCAAGAAGGGTTTTCGCTGCATCAACAAGGAGCAGCCGCAGGGCAAGACCTGCTCCAACTACCACATCCGATTCCTCTGCCCACTGGGTGAGTGCCCGTCCCCGCTGCGTCCCACCCACCCCCCGGACCCTGCTGGCATGTTGAGGGGGGGGCCATACCCATTGCTTGCTCGTCATCCCCCCGCTGCCGCATCCCACCGGGTGCTGCCGGAGCTGCGGCTACACCAGACCCACCCGCTCCAGCAGTCACCCCTTGGGTCCATCATCCCGGGGGCAACGCGCCCCTTACAGAGCTGGGTGCGAGCGCTGGGTTACCAGTTAATGCTTTTGCCCCCCCACCCCCAGAGCACATCTACTGGTCGCACTGGTCCTCCTGGAGCCCCTGCTCGCGCAGCGCCTGCGGCAGCAGCGGCACCCAGACCCGCACCCGCCGATGCGTCAATGCCCGGCTGGTGGCCGCGCTCAAGGAGCTCAAGTGCAAGGGCAAAGCCGTGGAGCGCCGGCCGTGCAGTGCCGGCCCCTGCCCAGGTAGGGACCGCGGCATCCCTGCCGGCACCCACTTGCCCCCCGGCCACCACTCGCTGCCTGGTGCCGGTCACCTCCGGCTCCTCTCCCGGTCCCCATTGCCAGCAGCACGAGGGGTCCCCGAGGGGCCGTTGGCGCGCAGTGGCTGCCCCCCACGCCGATGCGGCAGCTCCACGGGCGAAGCAGCCTCCGCCTGCGCATCATCAGCTTAATTGCAATAACAGAGGCCGTGTTGGTAAAAATAGCTTGGCAGGGGTGCGCGGGGGTGAGCCGGGGCTGGCCGGGCATGGGTGACTGGATGGAGCCTCCCCGGTTGGGGACCCCCTCATGTCCCCGTGGTGCGGGACCACCCCGGGCTGGGGGCTGGGGTGGAGCGGGGTGCCCGATCCCTGCCCGGCGTCTCCCCCGCAGAGTCAGCATGGATGGAGTGGGGGACCTGGGGCCCCTGTTCTCGCAGCTGCGGCAGTGCCGGGACACGTGTCCGGCGCCGGAGCTGCAAGAAAGCCAAGAAAGTGCCGTGCGCTGGCCGTCCCACCGAGGTGCAGAAATGTCCCCCCTCGCCCTGCCCAGGTACCTGCCCTCGGGGACACGGGAACCCCCTCCCCGGTGTCCCCCCCCGAGCCGCGTGGCCCCACCGCCAGCCATGCCCATGGGTTCTGAGCGCCGTGCCACCCCCGCAGCCTGCCCTGAGCGCACGCTGCAGGGCACCGTCGTCTCCGCCACCGGCACGGCGCTGCCAGATGCCCGCATCTACCTGGAGGGCCGCCCGCCGGTGCTGCTGGCCCGCAGCGATGCCGACGGGCGCTTCGCCGCGGCGGGGCTGTGCGAGGGCACCGCTGCCAACGTCAGCGCCCACCGGGAGGGCTTCGCCCCAGGACTAGCACCCATCGTCTCCAACGGCTCTGGCGTGGCGGTGGCGAATGTGACGCTGCAGAGACTGGGTGAGCATCGCGGCGCGGGGCACAGGGCTGAGCCGTGCAACCCTCGAGGGATTTCCCCGAGGGATGCGTGGTGGGGGGGAGCGATCCGGGGGGGGCGGCCAAGGCTTGTTGCACCCTCTGCCGCCTTCCTCCCCTGCAGAGAAACCCTACATGGTGCTGCACCCCAAGGCAAAGGTGCGGGTGGCCGGGCAGGAGGTGACCTTCTGCTGCAAAGCCTCGGGCACCCCCGTGCCCAAGAAATACTACTGGTGAGCAGGGTCCGGGCGGCAGAACGCCACGGCTGGGGATGGTGGGGAAAGGCAGCGCCGGCCACATCCCCGCTGAGCCCGTCCCAATGTCCCCACAGGTACCACAACGGGACGCTGCTGGAGAGGAAGGTGTACCGGTATGGCAGCCACCTGGTGCTGCGGGGGCTGGCGCCGGAGCAGGCTGGCACCTACCACTGCAAAGCCAGCACTGAGGCGGGCGCCATCAAATCGGCGCCGGCACAGCTCACCGTGCTGGGTGAGAACGGGATGGGCTTTGTTAGCGGCAGCATCGTGCTGGGATGGGGTGTGCGGTGGGGAGGGTCACTCTAACCGCCTGTCTCCCCTCGTTCCCCCCCACCCAGCCCAGGGCCAGCAGAGCTGCAAGCCAGAGCCTGAGCCGAGCCTCGTGGAGCTGCCCAGCGAGTGCCCGCAGGATGCCGCCGGCTCCCGCTACTACGACGTGGGTCGCTGTGCGCCCACCCCGTGTGCCGGCGGCCCGGCCGAGCGGTCAGGGTGCGGAGCGGACACGGGGCACTGCTGCGGGGTGCGGAGGATGGAGATGCGGGAGATCCCCTGTGCCGGCTTCGTGCTGCCCATCAAGGTGGTGGCCGAGTGCGGTTGCGGACCCTGCACCCAGCCCCGCATCCTGGTGCAGGGACGGGTGACGGCAGCTGACACCGGCGAGCCCCTGCGCTTCGGGCAGATCTTCCTGGGTGGGAGGAAGGTCGGCTTCACCGGCTACAAGGGCTCCTTCACCATTGAGGTGCCGCCGGACACGCAGCGCTTGGTGGTTCGCTTCGTGGACCGGCAGCAGAGGTTGGTGGATGCCGTCAAGGTCCTGCCCTTCAACCGCCGTGGCGGTGCCATCTACCAGGAGGTGAAGATGCTGCGGAAGAAGGAGCCGGTGGATCTGGACGGCAGCCGGAGCAACGCCATCCCGCTAGGGGAGGCGAGCGGCCAGGAGCCCATCGGGGAGCTTGTCCTTCCCGCCGGCATCTTCCTCCGTCCCTCTGGGGAGGTCTTCAGAGGCACAGTCAAAGCCAGCGTCACCTTCCTGGACCCCAGGGACATGGCAACAGCCAGCGCCGCCTCCAGTGACCTCAGCTTTGCCAACGCCGAGGGGGAGATCGTTCCCTTGCGGACCTACGGCATGTTCGCTGTAGATTTTCTGGAAGGGGAGAGCGGCGCGGCGTTGCAGACAGGGCCGGTGGAGGTGCGGATGGATGCGGGGCAGGTCCGGATGCCGGAGCACCTGCAGAAGATGAAGTTGTGGTCCTTGAACCCTGAGACCGGCTTGTGGGAGGAGGAGGGGGTCCTCCGGCCAGCCAGGGGGAACCGGGGAAAGAGGGAGGAGAGGACCTTCTTGGTGGGGAACCTGGAGATCCGGGAGCGGCGTCTTTTCAACCTGGACGTGCCGGAGGACCGCCGCTGCTTCGTCAAGGTCAGAGCTTACAGCAATGAGAAGTTCAACCCCTACGAGCAACTGGAAGGGGTGGTCATCAGCCTCATCAACCTGGAGCCCCAGCCCGGCTATCCTGCCAACCCCCGGGCGTGGGGTCGCTTCGACAGCGTGGTGACAGGTCCCAACGGAGCCTGCCTGCCTGCTTTCTGCGACGGCCAGCGCCCCGACGCCTACTCGGCGTATGTCACTGCCACGCTGGGTGGGGAGGAGCTGGAAGCCGTGGCCTCCAGCCCCAAGCTCAACCCCAATGCCATTGGGGTGTCCCAGCCCTACCTGGGCAAGCTGGGCTACCGTCGGTTGGACCACGATGACCCCAACTTGAAGAAGACAGCTTTCCAAATCAACGTGGCCAAGCCTGACCCCAACAACGTTGATGAGACCAACGGTCCCATCTACCCTTACCGCAGCCTTGAGGAGTGCGAGGAGGCGCCGGTCAGCGCCAACCACCTCCGCTTCTACCGCGTGGAGGTGGACAAGTATGAGTACAATGTGGTGCCCTTCAAGGAGAGCGACCTGACCTCCTGGACCGGCGACTACCTCTCGTGGTGGCCCAACCCTCAGGAGTTCAGGGCTTGTTTCATCAAGGTACAGATTGAGGGGCCGCAGGAGTACATGGTGAGGTCCCGTAATGTGGGGGGCAGCCACCCCCGCACCCGGGGGCAGCTCTACGGGCTGCGTGACACCCGTAGCGTGCGGGATACGCTGTTGGAGAACACCTCAGGTGCCTGCGTGGAGTTCAAGTGCAGCGGTATGCTCTTCGACCAGAGCCTGGTGGATCGCACCTTGGTCTCCATCGTCCCCCAAGGCAGCTGCCACCGCACGGCCGTCAACAGCCTCCTCCGGGACTACCTGAGCCGTCACCCGCCTGTGGCAGACAACAACCACACGGCCGCCTTCACCATGCTGGCACCGGTCGACCCGTTGGGTCACAACTACGGCATCTACACGGTGACGGACCAGAACCCGCGGTTGGCCAAGGAGATCGCCATCGGCCGTTGCTTTGATGGCACCTCCGACGGCTTCTCGCGGGAGATGAAGGCGGATGCGGGTACGGCCGTCACCTTCACCTGCCAGGAGCGGCCGCCGGGGCGGGAGAGCTTCTTCCAGCGCTTGCTGACGGCCCCGGCCGAGGCGCTGGCCGAGATCCGGCGGGAGATGGGGGCCGGCGAGATGCGCCGGGCTCCCCCCGAGGTGATGGACTTCGCCTCCGGCGCCCGAGCCCTGGGCCCCACGGCCACCCTCCGGACCCCCAGCAGCCGCCGGAGGATGGGCCGGATCCAGGGGCAGCCGTGAGTGCCACATCCCCCCCCCATGCCCCCTCCCCGGCTCAGCTCCGCCCTCCTTTTCCCCGTCGCTTTTACCCGCACTCATTTATAATGACCAAGGGGGGGACACGCACGCACGGGACACGTGAAGTGGGACCCCCCGCCATGCCCCCGGGGGACAGTGGGGCAGGGGACCACCGGGACGCGGGGAGGGGGGG